ATATGCTAATAATTTATTACAAAAATAAAAATATACCAATAATTGAGTTATTATTGTCTCAAATATTCGAAAAGTTACCAGTTTTGTTTCARGAATGGAATGGATTGATTTTTAGGACATCATTATAAATATTTTTTCAAACACGATATAGTTATCATTATGTAGGTACTTAAATATAATATATAAGTACCTACTTGTTCATTAACAACGGATGTTTATTCAAATTATGGATTTATATTATAATACCCATTAAATTTGAGTGATATGCATCATGAAAAAATCAATGTTTAAATATTGCGTCACATATTACATAGTATACGTAAAAAAAAACAAAGTTTAAGTATTAGTTTTGGTTGATTAACTATAATCTTCGCGTTATCTTACTAATAAAATATATAGGGTATTATATGTCGTTTACGGGATGATCCATTTAACGTCAGACACTCATTATTTCAGAAAACACCTATATGTTTTTGAAAATATTAATTTACATAATTTGGGGTCGTTACAAAACAACATGTTCTGTTATTTTTTCTTATTTACTACCTATCTAAAGTTTTTTACGCTTTTGAATGACACCATACTTATATTTTTAATTTCATATTTTGGAGCAGAATATTACTAAGAGTACCTATTTAGGTATTTAAATCTGAGATGAGTATAGAACAGTGAACATATACCAGTATACCACGCTACTCCATTCACTTAAACTTTAAATAAATATAWCTTAAAAACTACAACGAAATTGAATTTTTATAATTTAAAAAGTATAATATACTGCAAAAAATATTTTTCCTAAGAATATGGACTAAAAACACATCTTGTGATTGAATAAAGTGAAAATTTAAAACAATAGGAAAAATATGTTGTTTTTTTTAGAAAAATTATGTTGTTTTTAACAGGTGTGTTACCCTGGCACCCCGAGGTCAAAATTTCGACTTGAAAACTGTTTGGTATTATGTAATTTATTATGTAACATTTTGTAACCGCAAAAAAAAATKTTGTAACCACATCGGTGCCCCAGAAAACGGCGTTACAAGTTCCGGGTGCCAGGGTAACGTTACCCCAGCACCCCAAACATTAAACAATTAAAATTTCGACTTGAAAACTGTTTGGTATTATGTAATTTATTATGTAACATTTTGTAACCGCAAAAAAAAATTTTGTAACCACATCAGTGCCCCGGAAAACGGCGTTACAAATTCCAATAAACCACAAAAAATTTTTTAACGTTACTGGTACCTTAAAAAATTGTGATTTAATTAGTTAAAATATTTAAGAATACAAATCTAGCATGGCTTTATCGTTTATATTATTTATTATTATTTTTTTTTAATACGTTCCACATGAAACGTGAAATAAACATGAAGATGTAATGTAAGTTTTATAAACAAATATCAACTGGCCACTTATGAATCAAAAATAAATTTTAACGAAGCACTGTGAAAGCTCCATGCACTGTATCGATGCACAGTGTGCACGTTTATGAAGATAATAAAAAATTTTATCGTTTAAAAATGATAAGTATACAGTAGGTATACACTACAAACCTTATGAATTACAATATGCATATATTTATGCCCTAAAGGATTACAAAATATGCTTTTAAAATATGCATTTAAAAAAGCATATTTGTAATAAATAAAAATATTTGAAGATATGATACAGAAATAGATAAATTT